TGGGAACAACAGCCACTCAGCCACCAAGTGGTAGGCCACGTCACATGACAGAGCGGGGTCAGCGCATGCTGAAGCACACAGTGCGCAGAAGTCCCCAACTGTCTGCAGAGTCAATAGCTAAAGATCTCCAAACTTAGTGTGGCCTTCAGATGAGCCCAACAACAGTGCATAGAGAGCTTCATGGAATGGGTTTCCATGGCCGAGCAGCTGTATCCAAGCCTTACATCACCAAGTGCAATGCAAAGCATCGGATGTAGTGGTGTAAAGTACGCTGCCACTGGACTCTAGAGCAGTGGAGACGTGTTCTCAAAGTAATTCTTTGTTATAAGCAAATTGTGTAAAAAAAAAAAAAATACTGATCACTTCCCCAAAGTAGTACAATGTTACTATGGTAACATTGTACCACTTTGGTCATAGTGAAATATGAAAAAAATCTTAAAAAAAAAAAAAAAAAAGTAATAAAAATAAGAAAATTAAAAAAAAAATTATAATTTTTTTTTTCATACTGTCACCAGTCAGTGTCCCTGATCACCGCCATGCCAGTTATATGAAGACGCTGTACTGCCCTGGTGACAGTATGTAGAAAAAAAAATTGCGAAAAATTATGACAAAAAAATTACAACTTCAAAAAAACTCGCCATGCCTCTTATGAAGTACATCGGACTGAGGATATCTGTACCGTTCTGACATTTGGGGGATATCTGTACTGTCCTGACATTTGGGGGATATCTGTACTGTCCTGACATTTGGGGGGATATCTGTACTGTCCTGACATTTGGGGGATATCTGTACTGTTCTGACATTTGGGGGATATCTGTACTGTTCTGATATTTGGGGGATATCTGTACTGTCCTGACATTTGGGGGGATATCTGTACTGTTCTGACATTTGGGGGATATCTGTACTGTTCTGACATTTGGGGGATATCTGTACTGTTCTGACATTTGGGGGATATCTGTACTGTCCTGACATTTGGGGGGATATCTGTACTGTTCTGACATTTGGAGGATATCTGTACTGTTCTGACATTTGGAGGATATCTGTACTGTCCTGACATTTGGGGGGATATCTGTACTGTCCTGACATTTGGGGGATATCTGTACTGTCCTGACATTTGGGGGATATCTGTACTGTTCTGATATTTGGGGGATATCTGTACTGTTCTGACATTTGGAGGATATCTGTACTGTTCTGACATTTGGGGGATATCTGTACTATTCTGATATTTGGGGGATATCTGTACTGTCCTGACATTTGGGGGATATCTGTACCGTTCTGACATTCTTGGACCTCAAGAAATTAGATTGGCTGTCAGTACTTCAGGATTGATCAATATTCAGATATATCCCACAGTTTGTGAACTCTATAACTTTCCTACAAACTAAAAAATACATCCTAATTTGGGTTATTTTCACCAAAGACATGTAGCAGAATACATCTCGGCCTAAATTTATGAAGAACAATTATTTATTTGCAAACTTTTATAACAGAAACAAAGAAAAACATGCTTTTTTTTGTTAATTTAGCAAAAAATAAAAACCCCAGTGTTGGTTTTAGTTTGGGTACAATGTTGTATGACCGTGCAATTGTCATTCAAAGTGTGAGAGCGCTGAAACCTGAAAAATGGCCTGGGCAGGAAGGGGGTAAAAGTGCCCGGTATGGAAGCGGTTAAACATGTCCAGTAAAAAAACTTACAAAAATCAAATTTCGTCATCAAAATGTATTTTGCTCAATGTCTTTGCTAAAAAAAATCCCAGTACGTATAAATGAATTGGTTTACGTGAAAGCTATACCGTTTACCAACAGCGGTATATACAGTCAGGTCCATAAATATTGGGACATGGACACAATTCTAACATTTTTGGCTCTATACACCACCACAATGGATTTGAAATAAAACAAACAAGATGTGCTTTAACTGCAGACTGTCAGCTTTAATTTGAGGGTATTTACATCCAAATCAGGTGAACGGTGTAGGAATTACAACAGTTTGCCTATGTGCCTCCCACTTGTTAAGGGATCAAAAGTAATGGGACAGAATAATCATAAATCAAACTTTCACTTTTTAATACTTGGTTGCAAATCCTTTGCAGTCAATTACAGCCTGAAGTGTGGAACGCATAGACATCACCAGACGTTGGGTTTCATCCCTGGTGATGCTCTGCCAGGCCTCTACTGCAACTGTCTTCAGTTCCTGCTTGTTCTTGGGGCATTTTCCCTTCAGTTTTGTCTTCAGCAAGTGAAATGCTCAATCGGATTCAGGTCAGGTGACTGACTTGGCCATTGCATAACATTCCACTTCTTTCCCTTAAAAAACTCTTTGGTGGCTTTTGCAGTCTGCTTTGGGTCATTGTCCATCTGCACTGTGAAGCGTCCAATGAGTTCTGAAGCCTTTGGCTGAATATGAGCAGATAATATTCCCGAAACACTTCAGAATTCATCCGGCTGCTTTTGTCAGCAGTCACATCATCAATAAATACAAGAGAAGCAGTTCCATTGGCAGCCATACATGCCCACGCCATGACACTACCACCACCATGCTTCACTGATGAGGTGGTATGCTTAGGATCCTGAGCAGTTCCTTTCCTTCTCCATACTCTTCTCTTCCCATCACTCTGGTACAAGTTGATGTCGGTCTCATCTGTCCATAGGATGTTGTTCCAGAACTTTTTTAGATGTCGTTTGGCAAACTCTAATCTGGCCTTCCTGTTTTTGAGGCTCACCAATGGTTTCCATCTTGTGGTGAACCCTCTGTATTCACTCTGGTGAAGTCTTCTCTTGATTGGTGACTTTGACACACATACACCTACCTCCTGGAGAGTGTTCTTGATCTGACCAACTGTTGTGAAGGGTGTTTTCTTACCAGGGAAAGAATTCTTTGGTCATCCACCACAGTTGTTTTTCGTGGTCTTCCGGGTCTTTTGGTGTTGCTGAGCTCAACGGTGCGTTCCTTCTTTTTAAGAATGTTCCAAACAGTTGTTTTGGCCACGCCTAATGTTTTTGCTATCTCTCTGATGGGTTTGTTTTTTCAGCCTAATGATGGCTTCACTGATAGTGACAGCTCTTTGGATCTCATCTTGAGAGTTGACAGCAACAGATTCCAAATGCAAATAGCACACTTGAAATGAACTCTGGACCTTTTATCTGCCATTGTAATTGGGATAATGAGGGAATAACACACTCCTGGCCATGGAACACCTGATAAGCCAATTGTCCCATTACTTTTGGTCCCTTAACAAGTGGGAGGCACATATGCAAACTGTTGTAATTCCTACACCGTTCACCTGATTTGGATGTAATTACCCTCAAATTAAAGCTGACAGTCCTGCAGTTAAAGCACATCTTGTTTGTTTCATTTCAAATCCATTGTGGTGGGGTATAGAGCCAAAAATATTAGAATTGTGTCGATGTCCCAATATTTATGGACCTGACTGTATACTGGGATTTTTCTTTATTTATTTTACTAGTAATGGGGGCGATCAGCGACTTATAGCAGGACTATGGCAGACATTCTGACAATGGGGGGAACTGACTTGGTGTCACTGACATCCCCAGTGACACCATTACAGTGATCAGTGCTGGGTGTGTTTTACTATGGGTGCGGTGTGTGTGCTTCACTGTACACAATATGCTTTGGATGGCTGTGCTGTGCACCGCCATCCAGAGCAGTATGCCCATGCTGTGCACAGCCATCCAGAGCAGTGTGCCCGAGCTGACAGGGAGCAGAACTGTTCGTAAACAAAACAGTTCTCCTCCCCGCCGGAGATCCTTGGTAATCACTGGGCACCGGCGAGTAATCACAGGCCGGGACCGGGTGATTGACAGCCACGAATGGTGGCACGGGTAGGGCGAAAAATGCAAATCACATATATATATACGTGATTTTGCGCACGCATGCCGCCCTGTAGCAGTATTTTTGCTATACGGTGGTTGGGAAGAGGTTAAAATCCAGTAAAACACTCTCACTTTGCTCTGCACATGCTCAGTTGCTCTCCATTTTAGGCATTTTTAGGCACTGTGCTGAATTTGTAGAGGCCGATCTGCTGACAGTCTAGATTAAAGCGGAACTAACCCTTCGACTGAACAATTATAAAAACTGGTTATATTCCAGACATGCCAGTTATATTAACTGTCACATTTGCTTGTTTTCTTAACCAAACTGTCAAACCATCAAATGACTGGTGTTATAACTGATCACATGTGCAGCACCATGCCAGTTGGCTGCTTCCTTGGCTGAAAAGCATAGGAGGGTTTAGTTCTGCTTTGACTGCAGCTCAGGGGCTCTGGGCTTCAACAAAATGGCTGCCTCCAGCAAAAAGTAGCAGGAGCAATGTTGGAAACAATTTACAGCACACACTGATTTTGATGGCATAAATATTAATGTGGAACATTATTTTTTTATCAATTGTTATGAGTAAAGTTTCGCTTTAAAGTAGAACTAAAGTCCAAACCTTTTTTTCCCATTTTGGATAGCGCAAGGGAGGGTTATGACCCCTGTCAGATTTTTTTTTGTGTCCCATTGGGGAGATTATTCTTCACTTCCTGTCCCATAGCCAAACAGGAAGTGAAAGGAAATCTCTGTAATTTAAGGGAATTTCTTGGGCACTCCCAGGTCGTCAGAACTAGTGTCGTAATTGGAAGATTTCCCCTCTATTACTTTTCTGGGGGCAACCCACAATTTGGGGTTTTCTTTTCCTTTCACTTTCAGTACAGATTTACACTGATGCGGTGTGGAATTTACAGCCCTTTCTGTGCAAATTCCGCACCGCATCACAATCGCACCCCGTTCATGTGATCCAATGCAGGTGTGTACATTAAGATAACAACACCCCGAAATCGGTCCGCAAAACGCGGTGCGATGTGCAGAATCGGATCGCAAAGGTGTGAATAGCCATGCGTTCCGATTCTAGTGCGGACCAAAAAAAGGGTCCTGCATCTTTTTAGTGCGGATGCGGTGCGACTAGAGCCATACAAAATGTATGGATCCAATCGCACCGTACACAAATCACATGTAATTTGCGCAGGAATGCAGTGCGGTTCCTGTGCGAATCACATGCGATGTACCGCACCGCATTAGTGTGAACTCAGCCTCAGTGATAATGGTCATCAGGACCAGGGGAGGACTGACAACTCATGGGGCCCCCAGGCAATAGGGGATCATGGGGCCCCTGTGTCCTCGCCCACACCCAAAAAAGCCTATGAAAAAGCCAATGAAAGGTACCAGGGGCATCTCATGGGGCCCCCTTCTGACCCCGGGCCCTCGGGCAGTGCCCGAGTGCTCGAATGGTCATTCCGCCCCTGGTCAGGACACATATAGAGGGTGAATCTCCCTAAGAAGGGCACAGACAGCAATAAAAACCCAACAAACGTTCTAATGTCTCCCCACTCTATCCAAGACTAAAAAAAAAATGTTTTGCCTTTAGTTATACCTTAAGTCACGAGTCACACCGCTGCAATTTAAAATCGTGCAATTTGTGTGCAATTTCAGTGCGATTTCAGATGCAATTTCTGAATTCTACTTATTTCTACAACAATTTCAACAATTTCTTGCAATTTGCAGTGCGATTTCTACTATATTCTATGTATGTGAAATCGTAACAAAACTGCAGAAAAAGTAATGCAGGAACGACTTTAGAAATCGCCCTAAAGCAAATCGCACACGTTAAGACACTGACATTCACATTCATTAGATGCAATTTCTGGTGCGATTTCAATTCACAAATCGCACCTGAAATCATACTGGTATGACCGGGCACTATGTCCCTGGTCACACTGGGTGCGACTTGGCATGCGATTTGCAAGCCATACGACTTGCAAATCACATGGCAAGTCGCACCCTATTGTCTGCAATTACAGCGGTCATATCGGTGCGGTTCCAACTTAGACGGAGCCGCACCAATTTCTAAAGTAGTACATGCACTACTTTTGGTGCGATTTGCATAGACCTCTGTGTCAGATATCTTGCAAATCGCAACTCAAATCGCCATGTCATCCGACTTTGAAATCGTGCGACTTACAGGGAAGTCGCACGATTTCAAAGTGGAGATCCGTGTGACTGGGGTGTAAGTCACAACACTACTTTGAGGGTAGTAAGGGATATACATTTCTATTTCAAATGTGCCTTTTTTTTCAATTTTATGTTAAAGCGGCGGCAGCAATAATGGATCATTTATAGGCACAACATTTTCCCGCGTTTCACATTGGTACGGGGATTTCACACTCCTTAGTGCGGGATCCGTAGGTGTTTTACATACACAGACATGCCACGGGTCTCTGTTAGTCGATGGGACCCGGCAGAGCCACGGTTCACAGTTGCCCATGAATGGAATCGCTGGAAGACCCCTGCTTGTACGTCTACATGCCACATGCCATCATCTGGTCCCCTTGGGGCCCATTTACTCCAGAAATTGTATTTTTTTTTTGCATGTGCGGTGACATGCATTAGGCACACGTTTTTACATACATTTGCGGCACATTTTTTTCTTAGGCTTGCATTTCCTTTGAGGTGCTGAAAAATAAGTCCCTACCAGATACAATCTAATAGGACTTTAAAGCTACCAGACCAAAAGTTTAACATTTACATTTTTTAAAAAGGTAAAAAGGTTAAAACAAAGAAAAATAAATAGCGCATACAGTAGTAGTGTCAATTGTGAAGGAATTGTAGTTATACACACTTGTCGGCCACTTTTTTGGTACACCTGTTTAACCCCTTGCCTACCGGGCACTTACCCCCTCCGCCCAGGTCGATTTTCAGCTTTCAGCGCTGTCGCACTTTGAATGACAATTGTGCGGTCATGCAACACTGTACCCATATGAATTTTTTAGCATTTGTTTCACACAAATAGAGTATTTACTTGCCGCTGGGTGTTTTATTTTTTTGTGCTATAAACAAAAAAAATCAAAAAATGAAAAAAAAAAGTTTCTTTGTTTCTATTATAAAATTTTTCAAACAAGTAATTTTTCTCCTTCACTGATGTGCGTTGATGAGGCTGCACTGATGGCCACTGATAGGCTGCACTGATGGGCGGCACTGATGATGGGCACTGACTGGCGGCACTGCTGGGCACTGACTGACGGCATTGACTGGCGACACTGCTGGGCACTGACTGGCAGCACTGCTGGGTGGCACTGATAGCCAGGGGCTATCGACGGGGAGATTGACTTCAGGCACTGATGGGCACAGGTGGTCGGCACTGCTTGGCACTTGTGGGCGGCACTGCTGGGCACTTGTGGGAAGCACTGGTGGTTGGCACTACTGGGCACCAATCATCAGGGCACTGATCATTAGTGCCCTGATGATCGGTGCCGATCCCTCCTCTGAAAACTGATCACGTGGTAAAAAGCCGCTGTGATTGGCCTTTTACCATACCACGTGATCAGCTGTGTCCGTAGGACACAGCGATCATGGAGATCGCCGGGTGCACGTCCCGGGGGCATGCAGGAGAGCTCGTTCTGGGCGGACATCATGTGACACTCACCCAGAACTTGCTGGCCGCAGTGAAGCCGTCATTCGGCTATCTGCGGTCGGCAAGTGGTTAATTGCTTGGTAACACAAATTGCTAATCAATGCATTTAGGCATCTAGACGTGGTGAAGACGACTTGTTGAAGTTCAAACCGAGCATCAGAATGGGGAAGAAATAGTATTTTCAGTGACTTTGAACGTGGCATGGTTGTTGGTGCCAGCTGGGCTGGTCTAAGTATTTCAAAAACTGCGGATCTACTGGGATTTTCACACACAACTATCTCTAGGATTTACAGAGAATGCTCCGAAAAAGAGAAAATATCCAGTGAGTGGCAGTTGTGTGGACTAGAATGCCTTGTTGATGTCATAGGAGAATGGGCAGACTGGTTGCTGTGACATTCAGATGGTAGGTGAACAGATGGATGCTTCTCAACCAACCCCAGGAACCCAATGTTAAGGAATGTTAAGGAATGGCATTCCTTAACATTGGACTCCTGGGGTCGGTTGAGCAGTGTCCATCCCTTCACTTGTATTGGCTGACATTGGAATCGCTCAGACCCATGCTCCCCTCTTCTCACTTGCCAGTGGGCTGGTCTTTTTCCCTTTATCCACAGCTTGGAGTGGCGCCATAAGGTATATTTTTCACATTCAGATGGTAGGGTCAGAATTTGGCGCAAACAACATGAAAACATGGATCCATCCGGCCTTGTATCAACAGTTCAGACTGGTGGTGGTGTAATGGTGTAGGCAATATTTTCATGGTACTAGCAAGGTGAACCTAATAAAGTGGCAGTTGAGTATATATTTGCCATTTAGAGATAAAAATACCTCCAGGTGGTCATATGGGGGGTTCCATGCAGGAATTTCCAACGCGTTTCGTAGGGGCAAAGCCTGCTTCCTCAGGGAGAACTGGCATAGAACTCCAAAGATTACAAGCAAAGTAAAATTAAGCATCATGTGGATACATTCATATAAATATTTAGACAGAGCTATCCAAGTACATATACGTATATTACAAACAGTAATACTGCCTGGCATAAATATTCAGTGTACATGCAGCTTGGACTAGGAAAGTGGAACCGCGACCATTGCATATCAGGAAACCAGCCACACCCTAAGTTGTATATATTTAATAGAGGAAAGTATATGTACTCCCTAAAGGGAAGAAAAATAATAAAAAAAGATAAAAGAACATATACAAAATAAAATCCCCCTAAAATGGAAGTCCCTTCTATACTTTTATAAAAAATGGTCCGAAGCCTCCAAAGCGTATTGTGGAAAATTAATAATTAAAGAGAACTGGATTTTACCAGGAAAACAGACATAATATTGTGGCAGATGCTAAATATAATTTAAGGTATTTACAATGGCCCAGGGATTTCCAAACTGCATTGGTATGGGGCACTGTCAGAGCGCAGTGCATTGTGGGGCGTGGCAGGCAAACAGCCCCCCGAACACCCTTACCGTTTGCATGTTCGCCGAACGAACGGCCGATGTTCAAGCTGAACTTATGTTTGACTCAAACATCAAGCCCAACACTAGTTAGCAGTTTACCAGGTTTTAAGCTGGGACTTTGAAAACTCTGAACCAGGAAATGCTCAGAGCTGAGTGCTTCCAGGTTCATTGATTGCAGTGCAGATCAGTATATACAGTATTTAAATACAGGGCTTTTTTTTTTCTCGGAGAATAGGTGCAGGAACTCCTCCTTCTGGGTCACCCCTGTCTCCGCCCCCTACCCACCTCCGAGCATCATCCCTTGGTTCCACCTCCTACCCACCTCTCAGTACCAGGCCTTTTAGAGAATACAGAACCAAGTATTATATTGTTGTGCTAAGTAATTTGGAATTTGTTAAAGATAAAGCAGTAAAATAGATCCCATGCAGCCAGCAACAATAGATCCCCCAGCAATAATAGACCCCCCGACAGCAACATAAAATCTGTAAATCCTCCAGCAGCCAGCAATAATAGACCCCTGGCAGCAAGATAAAATCTGTAAATCCTCCAGCAGCCAGCAACAATAGATCTCCCAGCAAAAATATACCCTTGGTAGCAACATAAAATCTGTAAACCCTCAAGCAGCCAGTAACAATAGATCCCCCAGCAATAATAGACCCCTGGCAGCAACATAAAATCTGTAAATCCTCCAGCAGCCAGCAACAATAGACCCCCCCAGCCATAATAGACCCCCGACAGCAACATAAAATCTGTAAATCCTCCAGCAGCCAGCATTAATAGACCCCCGGCAGAATATAAAATCTGTAAATCCTCCAGCAGCCAGCAACAATAGATCCCCCAGCAACAATAGACCCCAGGCAGCAACATAAAATCTGTAAATCCTCCAGCAGCCAGCAATAATAGACCCCCCCAGCAATAACAGACCCCCGGCAGCAACATAAAATCTGTAAATCCCTCCAGCAGCCAGCAATAATAGACCCCTGGCAGCAACATAAAATCTGTAAATCCTCCAGTAGCCAGCAACAATAGATCCCCCAGCAATAATACACCCCAGCAGCAACATAAAATCTGTAAATCCTCCAACAACCAGCAACAATAGATCCCCCAGCAATAATACACCCTCAGCAGCAACATAAAATCTGTGTAAATCCTCCAACAACCAGCAACAATAGATCCCCCAGCAATAATACACCCCAGCAGCAACATAAAATCTGTAAATCCTCTAGCAGCCAGCAATAATAGCCCCCCCCCAGCAATAATAGACCCCCAGCAATAATAGACCCCCGGCAGCAACATAAAATCTGTAAATCCTCTAGCAGCCAGCAATAATAGGCCCCCCAGCAATAATAGACCCCCCAGCAATAATAGACCCCCGGCAGCAAC